ATCATAATTTGATAAATGGACATATTCTTCTAATAACATGGGTGCTCAAACTATAATCCATCAACTAAGATTTCTTTGATTTAGCTCCAAGTTTTCGTAATTTGCTATAGGGGGAGAATTGGAATTAAAGAATCGCTTTGTCTTTTTAATATATATATATATTTTATATTTTAAACATTCAAAATGATCAAACTATCTCTTTATTTTTTGCATTCTTCCCATTATCTTTTCATTTCATTTTACTCATATTTAAATTCATCATGCTTTAGTGACCCATATAATTCACATGAAAAGACTTATGTTTAAGTAGTTATTGTGTTTCGCACAGAAGTTAGTATGATTAGCACAAACTTTCAAAAGCACTTGTATTTAATGAAGAAGATAAAGGCAAGGAGCCTGTCGAAGTTGAGAAACGTAAAAAACTGTTATGTTTTCATAAGAGTATAGATGTTGAGCTTATTTATGATCTATCATTGCCTAAAAAAAGTACCATCAAAGTTTATGCAATGAGAAACCTAAACTAATAATTGGGTTCAATGATGTTTAACTAAAGAATGAAGTTCAAGTTAAAAATTGGTCAATATGTTGATTGTATCATACCATCATGATTTCACACTCTTAAATGGTTACATATTTCCAAAATATTTGTTTTTGAAGAAAAATAATCGTACACAGAGTTCATTAATTTTTTATAAAAAAGCTCATAGATCAATGTTTTAATTATTTGTCTCTTCAAGACTCTGTGAACGAGTTTTCTCCAAAGAGGAAAGAATGATACATAATGGGTTACCTTTAAATTATCTAAATTGATTATAAATTGTAATTCTTTTATATATAAAATTATTATATTATTTAGAAGTCAATTATTAGTTTTAGTAATTTTAGAATGTTAGTTTTTTTGTTTGTTTTAATATTTTTTATTTGTATTAGGATTAATATTTCCTGATCTTTTTAATATTAATATTCTTTTTTATTAGTAGTTGTATTCCTAAATTATTTTTGTTATTTTCTGATCTAATTAGAAGAGACTTTCCTAAGACTCCATAATACGATTATAATCTTTTGATAAAAGCAATCAGTTATTCAATAAAATAATTTCATAGTTTCTTAAATTTTTAGTTGTGTGGTGCAATCAGACCCGTAAATGTGATATTTAAGATTTTCTTAATGTAATGTAAAAGAACACTAGATACACTAGAGTAATGTCTAAGTTTGTTTATTCACAAATTCCTACATTCAGTATAATATATATGAATGTAGTTTGACTTCATTTATTGGGGGTATTACAAGAAAAAACTCTATTATATTTTACCAATAGTATCAAATTACTTCTCGACAATTTACTTTATTAAAATAACTGTTTACATTTTGAATTTGTGCCCAATTAGTACTTTAAACAAAAATAAAGCAGTTAACTTTACCAAATTCTTCTTCTTCTTCTTCTAACCATAATCAACGGTTTCTTTGCCCTCCCTTCTTCTTTATCTTTTTTTTTTTTTTCTTTTTCTTGTTTCTTTTAGCTTCCTCCGCTTGATCAGCTTATCTCCATCATTTGTAGTTTGCTTTGGCATAAATAAATGAGACAAAAAAATGGAGAAAAGTTGATCGGGTGGAGGAAGGCACAAGGAAAAAGAAGCCCTTTGGAGATAATGGAATTTTATATAGAATATTTACAAAAATTAATTCCTGTTCAGTTACTTTTAATAAACCCAAATTAATGTTGTGACTTAAAAATGTTACAGGGCGGAGATGGGGTCGGTATTATGTTGGGCCAATTCAGTTCATGGTCTGCTACGGTGCTGTTATTGCTTCCACCCTCTTAGGAGGACAATGCATGAAGGTTAGACCTATATATATATGTAATATAATAATATATGTATATGTATATGTTGTTTTGAGCTGAAAGACAAACATGGTTGGTTGTTTTTGGCAGGCCATTTACTTATTATCACAGCCCCAAGGAGACATGAAGCTTTATGAATTTGTTGTGGTATTTGGATGTTTTATGTTGATTCTAGCCCAGATCCCATCTTTCCACTCCTTGAGACACATCAACTTCATTTCACTGCTTCTATGCCTTGCTTACAGCACCTGCTCAACTGCTGCCTCCATTTTTATAGGTATAATATATATATATATATTAACCAACCACTATAAATTCTTTAATAAAATTTTAATATAGAATTGAATATGAATTTGTTGAGTTGTATTTTGTCAGGAAATTCTTCCAATGCCCCGCCAAAGGATTATACCATAAATGGCAATACTGAAGGTCGTGTTTTTGGGATATTCAACGCCATTGCTATCATTGCCACAACATTTGGAAATGGAATCATTCCAGAAATTCAGGTTTGAGTTTGTTCAATTAACATTTCTAATGAGTTTTATGTTTCATAACATGTTTTACTGTGGCAGGTATTAGATCATTAAAAAAATAAAAATCATATCTTTTTAGACTACTCTTTGAGGTAGGATTTACTTATTGCTAGATGATGATACACACAATAATCATTGAAAATGTTTCTCCAAATCAAATACTTTCTTCACCTAATTGATTTATATGAACAACCCTAGAGGCAGTCTCTCCCCAACCCACTAATCTTTCCTACCATCCCAACCTTAATTAGTCTAGTAGAGTTTAGGACATACATCTCTAAGCAATGAAGAATCTATAATATAATACAAGCAAATTCGAAGTGAATTTGTGCCCTTCAAGTATCTCAACACCCTCTTAGCAGCACCTCAATGCAATTTGCTAGGTTTTGCATAAATCGTGACAAAATACTAGTAGCTGGTGAAATATCTTACCAAAATATTTGTCAGATAAAGCAAACTTCCAATGACAGTACAATAGACATTACCATCTACTTTTTCTTCTTCATTATTCAAACTGACTTGTTTGTTTCTAATCATGGTGAGTGTTTGTTGGCTTGAACTCCTGCATTTTACACCTTTCAAGAAGATTATTAATATATTTTTCTTGTGAAACGAAAATCCCTTCATCACATTGCTTCACTTCTAACCCGAGAAAGTAATTCATCATTCCCAAGTCAGTCATTTCAAATCCAGATATCATAAGTTTTTTAAATTCATCAATTGATAAAGCACTACTACAGTTGTAGACCAAATCATCCATATAAAGACACAAAATCAATAATTCATCACCTCTTTTAGCCTTGACATGTAAAATGGGCTTACTTGTGCTTTTGTTGAAATGTTTATTGACCCTCTCATACTAGGTCTGTAGGGCTTGCTTTAGGCATACAATACTTTCTTTAAACGGTATACTTTATTCTCTTGACCTGCCACTTCATAGCCTTTTACACGTTGTATATACACTTACTTCATCGAAACACCATTAAGAAGGCTGATTTTACATCAAATTGCTAGACATTCCATTTACTTTGGGTCGCTACTGCCACAAGCGTGCATTATAATATCAAATCTTGCCACTGGAGCAAATGTCTCATCAAAATCCATACCTTTGTGCTGCATATAACCATGAGCAACCAGCCTGTCTTTATATTTCTGGACTGACCCATCTGATCTGTATTTTGTCTTGTAAATCTATTTCAAGCCAACTATTTGTGCTCCATTTGAAAGATTAGTTAGCTCCCATGTCTTGTTTCTCTCTAGGACCTTCATTTCTTCATTCATTGTAACTTGGCCTCTTGCACATGTACAATTTGACATCTCTCCGTTATTGCATAAATTGCTGCCGAACTTCATCTTTTTTTGTGGCAGAGTTTCTGAAAAATAAGAAGAGCCAGAACATGTTGGACTTCATGAATTAAGTGAGTTGGTTGTGATGGATTATGGTGATGAAAGAGTGGAGTCATCATTGTTGTCATCACCAAGCATTAACAGATTTTCTCCTTGATCATCATCTTCTAAAGAAAGACCTTGACAATATTATATCTCATCCCATTTCAAAGCATTTTTCTCATCAAATAGATCATCTAAACTGATTAGTAACTTCTCGGCAAGAGGATTATAAAATTGATAGCTTTTAGTTTCAACACATCAAGCTTTGTTCTTTTTTGAGGAGCATGCACATGTGCGATAGAACCAAAAACCTTAAAATGAGTTATCTTAGGCTTCCATCTGTACCATACTTCAAAGGAGTTTGATAAGACAATGCAATTGTAGGACTTAGATTGAGAATATAAGCTGTTGTTGGAATTTTTTTTAAAATAAAAAAAATATAAATTTTCATTGACTTCACTCACCCTCTACATTTAACAACTTAAAAGTGATTTTAAATAGGCGTACATTGAATTCAAATTTACTAAAAATAATTTATCATAATCTAAAAAATAAATATAAATTAAATTTTTAAAACAATAAATTTTAACTAATAAAATAATTTTTTTTAAATAAATATATTTTAAATCTAAATAAAGATAAATCCTATTTAAATTCAAACTAATAAATAAAATAAATTATAATTTTTACATTTATCTTCAAAAATTTCTTTTAATGTAGAAATTATAATAACTAAATTTATTTTGTTAGAGCACTTCTCTCTAATATTTTTTGTTTGATTTTCATATTTTGAAGTACTTCTCTTCAATTGTTGATGCGTTTCTCACCAACCTCTGATTATTAATGCACTTCTCGTCAATTTTTAATTGTTTGATGTACTTCTCATCAAAATTTTTTGGAGCTCTTCTCTTCAGATTTTAAAGAATTTCTTCTTCTTCTTCAATAATATTTGTTTACTCATTCTTCAACCTGCAATTTTTTTGTATATGTCCAAATCTTTTATAATAAAAATATTGTGATTTACTTTTATGCCAACAATCTTTTTATCATGATTATTTTTCTTGTGTACTCCGCACGGTAGAAATTTTCTTCTCTTTGATATTGATGAAGACTTATTTGACATTGTAGCGATGAAAACTCCCTCAATTATTTTTCCATCTCTCATTGTTCTTCTTTGCTCCACGACTTGCAAATCATTACTTAATTCTGCAATTATAATTTTAGATAGATTTTTAAAATTTTCAAGTAATGAAATTTTTGACTCAAACTTTTCTGGTAAGCTCACAAATTTTTTTCAATAATTCTATTGTTGAAAAACTCTTCACCAAATAATCTAATTTTGTTAATAATTGTCACGAGCTTGTTAACATACTTCTTGATTCCTTTTGATTCTTTCATCCTTTGAATATCAAATTTTCTCTTAAAATTCAAAACTTGCATCAATCTGGCTTGGTTATTGCCTAAATACTCAAATTTAAGCAAATTTCATATCTTTTTTGAAGTTTCACAAGTTATGATACTAGTGAAAATCATTTCAAAAACTAAAGAGTACAAGCAAGTCTTTACTTTGTACGTCTTGGATTTTTCTTCATTATGACTCTTTACTTGAGCTGCAATTAGATAAGATGACAATGGTGGGAGTTTGCCATCATTTTCAATCATATCCCACAAATCAAAAGATTATAGATATGTTTGTATTTTCACAGCTCATAATTAATAATTTTCTCCTGTGAAAATGGGAGGTGAAGATAAAGGAAAGGTGTTTGAAGTCATATTTGATGTATGAGACTGCTGCTTTCTCTCTATATTTTTTTTTCTC